AAAGCCAGGTTCAGCTTTTGTTTTATGTGTCTCATATTCTGGTTAACGCAGGTTTTCAAATTACGATGATATGGGATGAAATAACTTGAGCACATTTAAGTATTCTGCAGCAATCAACTAGTTTGGTAGCTGTATCAAAAAGACATAATTTTCTTAGCAAAAGACAGCGTGTTGATTTCAAACCCTCCATGAACTTATGGCATTAGTTATACTTTAACATGTATTGTTATTACACATATGCCAGAATTATCTGCTTTTCTTATGATTAGCAAATCTATTGTTTTCTGGATCATTACTTTTATTGGTTCCCCCCATCCGCCCCCAAATTATTAAAATTATTGTGGCAAATTCCATTTCCTTGACATTTCTCCAATTTTCTGAGATTTTATAAGTTAATACTGGTGATTCAGAAAGTGGCTCTCAGCAAGTTCCACTTATAATATTAGGTGGAACTTTGTCGTCAAAAATCTCCTTGAAATGTCTAATGCCTCCTTTGTTATATGATAAGCTTCTCTACCATCTACAGCATCATTTAGAGTGATAAATTTTCCTACTTCATTCCAAAACCAGAGTTTCAGTTTTCTTCTTTTTAGAAAGTAAGAGACAAGTGGACTATAATATTCTATACACGTCTTCAGTTTTGTTAGTCATTTAAACTTAATTAAGTTTTGTTCTCACTTTCAAACTTGTAATTTTGATAGTCACTGATCTTTTCTGCATTTCAGTTACATTTTCTGTGTTATTTTGTATCTTACAATTTTGTGAGATTTTTTGTTTGTTTGTTTTGGATTTGTTTTAACTAGGAAGGCTTATTGTTTTTCCTTAATGTTCTCAATGTTAATTCATGCTTAAAATTTGTTCCAAACATATATATTGATATATGCACTTCAAAAAAGTTTCTTTTACACTTCCAAGTGCACATCTTAGATTATGTCATATTTTCAGTGTCAATGTATGATAAGATCATGTTTTCCAGATCCAAACAGTAAGTAATTTTTAGCCAAAAATAACTTTTTTTCCTGTCATTAAAATATATTGCCACACTAATTTTTCCCAGATTACAGAACATCTAATCCCATGTTAGGTAGTTATTATTTTTTCAAAACTTTTAGGAATTTTTATTACTAAGCTTATAGAACAACCAGTATATATCTGAAACTGAAAGCAACTATGATGCTGTGTTTATCATCCCCCATAATATGAATAGAGGATATTTTTCAGTAACTGCCTCTCTTTTTGTGGGCATAAGTTGTCCTTGCAAAAAAGCATACATTCATTATTTGTGCCTGTTTCACTGCCAAAGTAGAACAGCCATAAAAGTGAAAGACAGGATGAAATATAGCTGAAAAATCATTTCTACTATCCACATTGAGGAACTTGAAAATAATACACGAAATACCAAAATGTTTTAGAACTGGAGTTATTAACATTTATTTGTTATGAAATTGTAACGGAATTATCCTTTCTTTAAGGGTGAGGAATATGTATATGAAAAATATGCGTATGGCAATGAAATTCATGAAATGTGCATTTGTCTTACTACATGTTAAATGAAAGTCTAATTAATATTTTATAGAAGCTGATCTATCATAGAAGTGCTTCTCTGATTATGTTACAAAAACTTTAAGAAAAACTCTAGGGAAATGAAACCTAGAAACCTGGTTGGGGGTTTTTCATTTAAGAAGAAAAAAAAAATCAAGCGTGTATAATGAAACATGACTGTTTTATAGCAGCTATGAATTTCATCACATCAGAGCATCATATAACATAATATAAATGCATAAAATTAGTATCCCAATGTAAATCTGAGTAGAATTAAACAAGATGGTAAAATTGACACTTTTGTAAAATATTATATCAACGTTTGGCAGTGCTTTAGCAAACATTCTTATATCTTGTGCCCCAGAAATGTAGAGATCTTTAGCTCCAGTTCTTCATAGCTTCCATCATTATGTGCAAGCAGCACAGCAAACATGAAGGAAAGCATCTCTACAAGTACACTAAGGAAAGAAAGTTTGATATTGCTGTTCTTAAGATGGAAATGCTGTCATGGATACTGAGTGACGGCAACAGATCTCCTGCTTAAATCTAGACAAGAGTTAGTAATTTTTCTGAGTGTCAGCTACTCCATTATATTTAAAATGAAGCGTAAGCAACTGGGTAAAGTTAGTAGGTGGATGGATTTAATTTTCAAACTCCTTTGCAAGAACAATAGTGTGAACTCTGTTGTAGGACTTCAACAGTAATTTCTGCATGGATTGTGTGGCTGCTTTATTTGAATATCTGTGTTCATAAGGCATGAAAAAGAAGTTGTTATAAAATACTGGATCTGCCTGGTCCAAACGTAGACAATTCTAGCTAGACTCAAATGCATTTGAGTCCTGTAGGTACCATTCTCCAATGCTATCCTGGTATATTGAGAGTCAAACAATTTCCATTTTTAATGGTTTTTTAGTAGCAAAAAATTCTAAAATAAAATTCCGGAAGTGAAAAATTGTTTTAATATAGACTAGTGGCAATCCATGCCCTCTCAATAAGGAAGCATTTTCCATTGAGCTTTTGTAATGTGTCAGATTGTTTTATATTAAGCTGATTTACTCAGTTAAAATGAACCTGGTCAGACACCTTTTCTCTCACTCTGCTTTACAGGGCTCTCCTTTATTGTAAGTCTATGTGTTGGCTGTTCTCATTATACTAACAACATTGTTGAAAAGTGTCATTTCCAAATGACTTCTTAATTCAGAAGTAATAGCACAGAAGAAAAAACTACAATAAAAAAGAGAGAAAACATTGGAAAAGGTGAAAAACAATGTCCTTGGTAAATGGGAAAATTCAGAAAAGGCAAAAAATACCTAACAACCAGAACCTAATAAAATCTGGCTCATTTAAAGAGAGCTGCATAAATGTTTACTTATTCCATTTGCAGTGTGCATGTTCTATGTAAGCATAAGGCTTTGATTTTAAAATTTTTTATTTTCAAATAAATCATAGGGGAAAAAATCTTTTAATGTTCATTTTTGCATTCAGCTGTCTAGGTTGTACAAACGCTTGCAAATGGGACGAAGCTCACCTGCTACTCTTTTTATGGCTCTAGTGGTATTAATGTTTTGTGTGTCATATCCTGGAAAATCTATCCTTTGATTTTGCATTTGAGAGGAGTCTGTTTGTTCATACATGCTGGTCTTTGCAGACATTTCACATACACTGAATGAAAAATGCAGGATAAAACATATATCAGAAATTAGGCATTTATTCTCATGTGTGTATAGCAGGAAGAAAAGTTCTCTTGCCTACAAAACCAAGAGTACATGAATCTACTACTCCTACTAGTAATCCTACTACTACCTACTTTTCAGTTCTAACTTGATTTGCATTAAAACTAAGTTGCAATACCAGTACTGCTAGTGTTCATTATGTTTTAATTACGAAGAGACAAATGTTGAGGTGTGCTTAATTTTGGGGACTTCATAGCTTGCTTTTTTCCCAGGAATGTGCTGAATTGGAGCAGGTTTACATAGCACACAACTAGCTGTGAGGAAAGGAAATATCTGCATCCAAACAGAATAGACTGAAATCCCTTGAATAGACTGAAATCCCTTGAATAGGCTGAAACTATGAAATACATATATTCTGTGTTTATTTCCATTTGCAAGGCAGACATCATCTTCATATACCTTCACCCTGCTGGTGGACAAGAGGCTGAATTTCACTTGTAGATGCTTCCGTTTGGCATTTCTAACTCCCCTCCCCCAGGGGCTGTAAGAAACATCTGTTTGGGCAGCAAACACTTCCAAAACATCTGCATGCTCCATGCTGTATATGGTGCAGAGCCAGCCCCCAGCACCTGCTGCTGCCATCTCCCGACAAGAGCAGTGTGTAGAAGAGGCAGCTGAAGGCGTATCTTCTTGTGCATCACCTAGCAGAGAGGAGTCAGTGCTGCCATTGCTGCCATAGACAGAGGCAGAGGGCATGGGGAATGCAGTTCCCTCCTTGTAACACTTAATAATAGGCTACCTAGATTACAAAAAAACACAGTTCACTAGTCTATTACACACTGGACTAGCATCTAGAAAGCTGCCTCTCGTAACTTGGACATTAAAGAAAGTCCACTGGCTTTCAAGCTGCCAAGACTATCACCCTGCAGTTGTTATTTTTTAATGAAAAAAAGTCAATCACACTCTGAATGTCTTCCTAATGCTTGGAATCACTTCTTTCTCTTTTATGAGATTGTCTTCAACATGAGGCATTAGAATTTGCAAAGCAGCAAGCAAATTATCTTGCAGTAAAACACCAGCCTTGATGGTTGGCTGTGCTCTTTTCTGACACTGTAGAAGTTATACAAGTAGTTCTCACTAATGTTGGTAGAAACTGGGTGCATGTCTCGAGGACAGATTATAGTCTTTTCTTGTAGGACATGAAAATAATTGAGACTCTGCTGTCAAGACCTGAGCTTTTCTTTGAGTGTTAGTATGTTTTGGCAAGACATGTCAAAACTATATCTCATATTGAAAGACACTCTTGCTGTGATGTTAGATAGGAACATGCAAAATGCACAAGCCACCAAGCAATTCATATCTCCACCATAGCCCACGAGCCATTTTTTTCAAGTGAGTTCAGCACTTTTCTGTTGATAAACAAGTGGTTATCCTCGAGGCTGACATTTGTTCCCTGTGCTGACAGTTATCACTAAAAGAAAGTTTCAATTACAACTTTTAATAAAGTAATTAATGACTTTTTATCTCCAAAGAAACATAAATAGGTTTTATGCACAACAATCATACCCTCTTTTTTCATTAAGAAAAATACTGTACCAATATTTGGTACTGTTAAAGAGCAATGTGGGTTGGGTTTTTTTTAATTCAAGCTCCCTTTGAAATCAGTGAGTTTTAAATGTTTTAAACATTCTTTTTACTCCTTACAAAGAAAACTTTGTGCATCAATTGGTTTAACTCTCTGTATGTGGATCTCTTACCACTATACTTTATTTGTTTCTGTATTAGATTCTTCATCTGGTTTTTGCCATGCATAAGAGAAACAATCAGTGTTATGGTGGATTCCTGGTGTTATCCCCTGTCTCTGATTCTGTTCATTCTTTGTCAAGCAGATATTATTTTAAATTTCCGAACAACATATGTCAGCAAGTCTGGCCAAGTTATATTTGAAGCAAGATCTATTTGTATCCACTACGTGACTACCTGGTTTATCATTGATTTAATTGCTGCACTTCCTTTTGATCTTCTTTATGCTTTCAACGTCACTGTGGTAAGTACTAACCTGACTTTTTTAATTGTTCTTTTTTCAAGAGAGGTTTCTTGGGGTTTTTTTTCCAGACCTGGAGACTGAAACTGAATGGACTAAAATACCTTCGTGTCTTTTTCAGCTTCGTAGTGTATTTTCACATTGTAAGCTGAAGGAAGGAATACAATGTAATTGTACATGTTGATTAAAAGAATTACAAGATTGGGTGTCAAAGTAGCCATTCATTATCACGAAAGACACATATGTACCATCTTTTTTTAATTCCATTTTCCTTACTTTGTAAAGAGTCATACCTATGTTAGCTTCATTTTTACTTACTGTACTCAAATACATGTCCCTGTAGCTTTTGCTTTCTTATGCTGCATAAGTTCAATTAATTTTTCAAGACTCATAAATTGTTATTGTGATAAAGTAAATCATTGCTATGGTCAGTATGGTCAGCATTCTTCACTCAGCCGGGAATCTTCTTTCTCTTTACCTCTGTATTCTAGTGCAAAAACTACAGCATGATCACTATTTTTGTGTGTTCTGATATCTATAACTTAAAATTGTCATTAACTTTGGCTTTGGTTTCAACTCATCTTTTTTAGGAATATAATGACAAAATGCTTAAGCCACTTTGAAAAATGTGTGGGCCTAATTTTTGGTGATGTCACAACCATGATGCGTTATATTTGTATTGGTTTACTTACGCTAAAACAAAGGTTTTTCTTCTGATAGCCCTATTAGATTTAATAGAGTAAGAATCTACTAAGCAAAAAACCAACCAACCAAACAAAAAAACCCAAAAACCCCCAAACACCGCCTCCCCCTCCAAAACAGAAAGTTTAATTTTGGAAAAAAATGTTAGCAGAGGTTTCTCAATTTTGTGGATTTTTCACATAAGAGACTTAGGCTTTTAAGCTGTCCACTTTCTAATTCTCAGAATTTTGATCTTTTGTGAACAGATGCACTCAATCTCATTAAATGTGAGTTACAGACAGGTACATAGATGATAGGGTAGACACATATCAGAAAAAAAACATAGAAAAACACTAGTCAGGAAGCCTTCCACGTAAGGTATCCTCTTTGCTTTTATCATTTAGTTCTATTTCCTTCGATGATCTCTCTTTTCACTCCATTTGTTACATTAAGAACCATCAATCTGATGCTAGTGCAGTAGCTTTTAAAACCAGACAGTTAATAGTTCCACATTCTTCAACCACTGTTTTTTTTATAACCAGTGAGTAATCTATTTAAATACACTACTATCTCAGTTTATCCCTTACATTAAAACCAAACAGCCAGCATAACTGTGTTGCTCTAATTTCCATTAAGAATTTTTCATTGAATGAACCAGGTCTGATCTTTTCCTTCAAGGAGAAAATTAAAAAAACCAAAATTGATCTTTTTTTCTTTTTTTGTTTCATTGGGAAGACTGATATGCTTTTCTTACTGAATTCTGGAAAAGAAAGTATTATCCAATAATTATTTTTACAGTTAAAATGTCATAATATTAAAAATGTTACTATAATATGATTAATACACATCTCCTGTCTGTTGTATTTTAAAACTTTTTTCTCCTAATAAGATCACTAATATGGTGACTAAGAATATCCAGGGACATTGAAATGTCCCTCTGTTAGTAGGGATCCTTGATGAGATAATTAATGATAGATTAAGTCCTACCGCTAAGCCCCAAGTAGAAAGCGATATATAGCCATGTTGATCTCATAATTAACATTGACTGACAGGCATAGCTCCCTGCATGCTCTAAGAGTTAAATACCTTGTTAAAAGTTTTTGCAAGGTCCAATCTGTTTCCTTCATTTGCTTTGGCCTGATTTTGGTAGCTAGCTGCTGTATGGTAAAGACCACTACATAGTAGAGAGTCAAGGGCCAAACCTCTCTTCTCTCTGATAACTGAGAGCAAGTCCGGAATCTGGAGTCTGCAGCCTGCATTCACCCCAGCAAACTCAGTCATTTTGTTCTCTATATGATTCCTCGAGGGGAATAAAGTGCCTTACTGTATCATATTTCCTATCACGGCAACCCTTGGCAACTGTTAATTTAATCCTTAAGAGAACAATGACTATCAACAGTTTCAAGAGCGGGGGGAGGTGTTAATCACATTGCATTGTTTTCAGACTTTATGATTTAATAAGCCATTTCCTCATGTCTGTTCTCAGATTTTCACTCCATCGACTCTCAGATGTTGCCTCAACAGAATGGTGAGAAGGGGCATCAGGGAGCATCTCACTCCTTTGCTGTTCAGGCCCCAGCACAAAGGCCAAACCTTTAGGGATGCTCTAAATTCTGCAAGCTATAGGTATAGTGTCATACATACCTATGTATGTATGGCACATAAATGTCATCCTCCAGTTTATTCATCTGACATAAAGGATCCCTTAATCTGTGGAAATATGGTGTGAAATGCTGCCCAAGTAAAAAACAGGCCATTGAGCAGTAGTTATAATGATTGAGTTTGCTACTCTCTGAGTAACTATTGGTGGTTATAAAGCAAGAGTATCATTTTTTAAGGAAAACCAACTAACCAAGCAGACAAAAAGGATTAAAGATCCCTGACACTAGTAATTTCTTAAAATGTATCATGTTTCCTTATTAATTTCTTTTTGCCATAGAAGATTATTCTTCCAAGCAGAAAATTTCATCACTAGTTTGTAGCAACTTTATTTCCCAGTACTTCTCAGCATTATGCTATGATTGAGTTTGTGTTAGTTTTAGATAAAATTCTGTCTCTGTCATTTTGACAGAAAAAGGTTAACTCAGCTAGTCTAAAATGATTAACCAAATGGAAAATCGAGATGGTTTTATATCTATGGGCAAAGCAAAATCTACACAGGCACAAGTATGAGTGCTGACTCCTCATTTTGTCTTTCTAAATTTGTGACATAGAAAAGAAAGCTGCCTGATGGCATTTCAGGTCTTCCAATGACAGGTTAGACGCAATACAAGAAGAGTGTTTGGCATGACTAATGAGAAAATTCAGTGCAATTACATATGATTAATTATATCTGTGTTCAAATTTATGCAGAAATTATTTTGAAATGAGGTGGTCTTTAGGCCTTAAAATGAAACATGTCCCCACATTAAAAAGAATATTCTGAAATATGATTTGCTGTTTCTATATCTATCAGTGTTCTGTAACTTAATAAAAATGGTCAGAATTTGGTCACAAGTGATAACTGGCAGGGTATACTTATTACTGTAACAGCCCTTTTGAAATTTCTTGTTTGTAAGACTAATAAAAAAACAATTTCACCTAAATTATCATTATTTGGTTGTGATGTGGTAGAACATAGGCACCCATGTAAAGATGAAGGCTCCAATGTGAAGGGCATAGCACATATACAATCATATATACAATCATTATATATATGTTTATATATTACTACAACACCTTGAAGAGTCAGTCATGAATAGGGACCCCTTTATGTTAAGAGTGCAACAGAACCATGTTTGGTTCAAACAAGCTGATGAGAGAGAAGAAAAGGGGGCTTTGGGAAATGAATCACCACAGAAAAAGAGGCAGTTGGTATAGTGGCATGGCATTCAATTACAATAATTATATTTTAATAGTTCCATGATTGTATTAATACAAACATGGCAATTCCTTCAAATATTTTGCAGCCTTCTGCCCCAGACTTGCAGATATTCTTGTGCTTAAGGTCACAGACATAACTAATTTCACTGACATTGTAGATGACATAAGATGGATAAAAGTGCAAGAAGATAAGACCCTGTAATTGTTTGTGTGCTCTAATGCCAGATCTTATTCCTGACAGCAATGAACATCAAAGTATTTTTAAAAAGTGTCATGTTTTTGTTGATTTTCTTTTTTCCCCTGTTATGTACATGAGAAAAAATGTAAAGGTTCTTGGGAAAAAAGAGTTAAATAATGGGCAGTAAATACTGCATGAAGAAGCTCTAATTACTTATGCACTATCAAAACTGTAGTAGCAAAAAAAAAGAATGTTTGTAGGTTTATTATTTTCTTTTTTACAGGTTTCCCACTGACTTAATTCCTGAGACTGGAATAAAATCAATGAATTGTTAAGTCTTCATTAATAAATCTAAAATACCCCATGTTACAGAATCCATCAGTCAACCTGGACCTAGCTGTTAGTGAATATGCACCTATAAAATTAACATTTCAGATTATTAGTTTGGTAACAGAAAGGCTTAGCTTCAGGTTATTCTGGATTAGCAAAAGCAGAAGAATGTTGATCAAGCTGTGCTTTTAGACTTTCTTTTCAGAGAGCACATTACTGTGCTCTGGGAAGGCTGTGGGAAGACATGTCAAGTTTGATGTTATTTTTCTAGCTGATGCATATATCCTGTACCAGCCAGGTACCTAGTAGGAATTAATCCTAATGTCTCATTAATGAAGGGGGGTAAAAAGCTTACTGTTAATGAAAATTATTCCTATTTATTCTTTAAAAAAATAAATTAAAAATATTTGGGATCCTAATCTGCATATTGTTTGCTAGCTCTACCCAACAGCTGAAACATGAGCCAAGTATATTCTGTGCAAAACTGGGAGCTGTGCACACTCTGGTGTGGATGTACATTGGAGGATGCTCTGGAGGGGATGGGGTCATCCAGAGGTTGCTCGCTTTGTACATTGCTGCATCTCCTCTGGGGCCAGAGTCTATATACTTCATAAATTGATGTACACTTAGGGTGCTGAGCAGATTAGGTGCTGGTTTTGCCACATACACTTGAAAGGCAATACTATTTTAGGTAAGGAATATAAGAAGTAGCATTAGAAGTTTTAATACAAGGTTTTTTGGACTCCAGCTTAGTACAGAGCAGTAAAATGTGCCCAGGCCCCTGAACACGGGTTTAAATCTGAAGAACAAATCTGAGTCTCCACTCACTTCTCTGCTTCTTTTTTCTGCAAAATATCTGCTATATGTTATTGCCTTTTCCAGGCTTAATTATTAAGCTGGTTTCATCTCATACGTAGTTGAGTTAGGCCTACTGTTTGGCTGTTAGCAGAACCTGAAAATCATCGTATGCTTGAAGAGGTTTATTCTGTGGTTTCATGTCGGAATCAAATTAACATTGGTCAGTTTGACAATTGTGTTTCTCTTCTAGAGCAGGGAAGGATCCATTTTTGCACAAACATAAGTTTTTAAGTTAAATCTGAAAGAAGACTTTGCATGAAAAAAAGACAAAATGAAAGATCTCCCAGTATTTCAAGATTGTTCGATTTAAATCAGAAATAGTAAACATGTATGTACACAGCAAAAGTAAACATTTTTTTTTAACCATCTTCTTTGCTATTCTCTACTGCCTTAAGATTTAGTCTAAGCATAATATGCAGCTATGTAACTGAATGAAGAGTGGGCAAAACTTCATAGAGCTTTAGAAGACAGAGTTTCCTTTCATTGAAACAAGAGAACTGTGTGATAGAAGTCAACTGCTGACAAGCTGTTTTCTCTCCCTGTTCTCCCAGGTTTCCCTTGTCCACCTGCTAAAGACAGTGCGGTTGCTACGCCTCTTGCGTCTCCTTCAGAAGCTGGATCGTTACTCCCAGCACAGCACAATCGTTCTCACGCTTCTCATGTCCATGTTTGCCTTGCTTGCTCACTGGATGGCCTGCATTTGGTATGTTATAGGGAAAAGGGAGATGGAACAGAATAACCCCCTTACCTGGGACATAGGTAAGTTTTCCTTTCCACCATATAGATATATATGTACCCATGTGTGTGTATATGCATCTCTACATATGTAAATACATAAAAACACATGTTTAAGTCACTCAATATTTCCTTTTTTCTTTAATCTTATACAATTATTTAGTGTTGTTTGTAGAGAAAAGGAAGAGATTGGTGCTCTGAATTTTAGGTCAATCTGAAAAAGAGGGTTAAAATGAAAAGAAAATGGGAAAAGTAGAAAACAATGAGATTTTTAAGAGTAATCCAATGTTTGGAAAATTGAGGATCTGGATAGAAAAGGGCTAGACGGACTGTAGAAAAGTAGATGAGAAAGTTCATCCTCTTTTTGCAAATTAGGCAAATTCTTCAACAGAGGCATTCCCTGGAGTGTGCTGATTATTCTTTACTATACATTGAAACAGATAGGCCCTGAAATGCCTTCAAGTTAAAAACTCCCTTTGGAAATATTGTTTACCCAGTTTACAGGCTTTGCTCTTTTGCACAGCAGACGAGGTGTTTATCAGTGGAGAGATGGGTTTGGAATGCTCAATTTTGATCCAAACTTAGTTTCTACCCCAGTTTTCATTCTGATTTCATTGAGTGTTCCAGATTGACTCTTTAGATTTTAAGGTTTCCTTTTTTTTTTAAGGTTTATTATTATTTCTAAGGGTTGTATCCATGTGTGATGGTACATTGGTGAAACAATATACCTTGTAGAGGAGCCTGGCATCATCAGGTGCTTGTATGCTGTTGAAGGTGTGTTACCTGCTAGTGGAACAGCTGATACTCCACATCTTCCAGTGAGGGTCATTCTGGCTCTACTGTAGAGGTGCATTTCTTCTGCTGTCTTTCTCAGATGACATATCAATATGAAGCATTTCTTTTCTTTCTGGTTCCTTGTGTTCTATCTTTTAAATTCTGCTTGTATTTACCTTTAGCCTAAGTCTACTATTCAATGTGTTCATTGAATCAGGAGAGGAAACAAGGCCAGTGATAAAATTAACGAGAAAGAGGAAGCCCTGCTAGTTTTCTTTATGCTATCTTTAGTTAGATACTAAAGACACGATTAAAAAGCATATGAGTAATTTAGAATATATAAATTATCTGTGAGAGGAAAAGAATGCACAATTGTCTCTTTCATAAACAAAGAGTATCTAATGGTGAGACAGAGTTTCCCAACAGAAAAAATATTTGGTGGGGGGAATGATGCAAACACCTGTGACCAAATGCTCAACGACATGCATTTAAGCTGCAGTGTGCCCCATTCTTATCTCCTTTAATTTCTTTCTTCTCTCTTAACCCCATTAAACATCATCTAATAACAATAAGTCTGAAGGAAAAATGACAAGTATGTTAAAGGTGCCTGACCTCAGATGAGGTGAGGATGTTGGGTCAGGAAGAGGAAAAGAAGAAAAGAAAGTCCCATAAATACATCTCTCCATTTTGTCCATAGGTTACTGAAAGCTTTGTGGAGTCTTTTTATTCTTCTAGTTGGTTGTTTATTTCTCTTTTCCTTTGTAAACCAGGTCTGCGACCTGCTGCTGAAATCCTCATAGAGTGCAAATCTCTCAAAGAAAAGACTGCAGCTGTAGGGGGGCACATACAAAGAAAGCCCACTGTGCACAAATCAGTCAAATATTGCTAACAGAAAAACAAATCCAGATAATAATAATAATAATAATAATAACAAAAAGAAGACTCTCTCTGGCAGGACGTAGCTATGAAGACACATTGTCAGCTTATGTAGGCCACAAAATGATAGCTGATTTCAAAGCGTGCATTGCAGTCCCAACGATGAGGATGGGCTGCATCCTTGCTCCCTCAGTGGGGCTGCTGGCAGTGCTCCCCATGCAGCCTGTTCCTCTCCCTTTTCCCTGAGCCGAGGCCACATTCAGGAAATTCTCCTCATATCTCCTGGGGCTCTTGGCATTTATTGTTACCAGAACATTAACTTTCATCCCTCAGTTTTGTCCTCTCTTGGGCAATGGCAGTAATAAGCAAATGTCCCAACAATCTCATTAGAACCAATCCCAGTTTAACTGGAACAGAGCCATTTCACAGAAGTCCCATTTGCATCTCAGTGAAGAGTGTTGTATCACACACTGATCATCTTCTAGCAGGCTTCCTAGGCGGAACTGCTCCTTAACAGCCTCTCACCACTGGCTCATGTCAATGTGAGACTCGGTGACCTTCCCTGCATAGCTGCAGGCAACGTACCTCCCCGTTGGATGGGCCAAGGCGCTTCTTAGTGGTGTGTACTCTTAGGCTTTAGCCTCCTACCTGGCAAAAGGGTTTCACTGTTGACCTAACAGCCTGATTTTATTTTAGTTTTTTTCCAAAAGTGTTTTTGCATTTTTGTCTGGAAAGCTGTTCCACCACCTTCATGGATAGTCTCTAAAATATTTAAATGCTATAAAAGTATAATAAAAATTATACTGCAATGACTCCTGCAGAGTTCCTACAGATGTTAGTTCTGTATCTGTCAGAATGGTTATTCCTAGAGTTCTCTCTAGCACTAAGTTAAATATTTTATGGCTTTGAGGATGTGTTTGGGTTTTTTTGTTTGGTTTTTTTTTTAAGGGAAATAGTTTTAAAATGTTAAAGTATTAGAAACTGGTTTTAAAAAAAAGAGCTCAGAAAACTCCAAATACCTGGCATAAAGCCATTATTTTGCAAAGACCACTTCAGCACTGATAAAATTTCTGTTTAAGTTTATGTGTCACATACATGAGCAGAAAAATAAGATTATGTAATTTCTTCAGTCAGTGCAAATTCTATTGCTCTCCACAGGCAAACTACTTGCTGGTGAAACACAATGAAGTTAAGTCTTGGCCCTCTGTGTGCTATAATTTTTGCTACTCTGGTGATACACAGGTGATTACATGTAGCTAGCCTTTCTTTTTACCTTAAGAAAACTTCAGATGACCAGTCCACTACACCTCACAGCATCCATGTAAGTGGTATATTGAAGGGAGAACGGTAGGTGTGATTTAGGGTATGAGTGATCAAGCAAAGCAAAATGAGATCTGGAGATCATAATAAGTCACAAACAAATAATGCACACAGGAGAAACCTTGCTTGGGTATAAGAAAGGTAGTGTTATTGTAAGACACTGAGGATATTCTGTTCTCCTGTGTGAAGGCCTCAGCTGGAAATTTTTGTGCAGTTTTGGAGAGCATGTAAAAGAGATTTCTTACTGCAGGCAAAGCAGTAGAATATGATCCTTATTCTTGTATTTACAAGTTTTAATTTTAAAACTTTTAATTTTATTACTTTAGTACCAAAACTGGAGACTCAAGTTTCCAACAATAGGTGTTATACAAAGTTCATTCCAGGCATTAGGAGGCTTTCTAATTGGCAGCATTAAAAAATACAATGTAAAAAATAGAATTCCTATACTTTTTTATTAAAAGGAACGTGTCTCCCCCTCGGAAAGTATGCTTTTTATTCTTCACTGGAGCGTCTCAGGTGGTGTCCACCTGAAAAACTGGTATCCTGAGTATGGATGCTGCAATGCATACAACAGCTGAAATGTAGTGACGGGTTTGTTCTAAGAAAGGAAAACCATGCCTGGAATGAAAAGATTTCTTTGCTTTTTATGTTTGCTTCCATTTTGGGGGGGAGAGGCAGAGTGAGAAAAAAGCTTTTAGCAACATCCTTACTCCATTTAGTGCTTCCTCAGAAAGCCTGCGGCACAGATTTCAAGACTGAGGTTTTGTTAACACTTAAAGCAAATATTTTAAAGCTGCAGTACTCTTAACATAATACTTTGGACCTTGCTGTGCCATCAGATATGCTCCATAGCCCAGATCTCACAACACTGACTTTAGTGGGAGTAGCATTTGCTTCTGTGTATCTATTGCTCTGGCTAATTTAAACAAATGAGGTGCTTAATTTGCATTTGGATTGGGGCAATGGGAGTGATAAAGTTCTCCCTATGAAAACACCCCGAACCGAAAAGTGTATTTGCTTTGTTCTTGCTGGGCCTAATTGTAAGCCTTTATTTCATTTTTTGTCCTTACTCTGGCAAAATTCTCATTGCAAATAATTTTAAAACATGGTTACATTCACAAATTTGGTGGTTGCACATGGCTGTACAATGAAAAAGATATAGCATCTGGGTATATTATTCATGAACTGTCATGACGTGGTGGCATTGGGACATATACCAGTGTAGGATAATGTTACAATCTGGATCTCTCGCTTAGCTCTAGTATTGCTATTTTAACTGATTACATGAGGTATTTGGAAGATATGCAGTAGGGGAACTGCTTTCAGGTGCTAGAAACCTTTACCTCAGCAAGTTCTCTCACCTCAGGAAATGGTTTTTCCACGTGCAGCAGCTTGACTCTAACATCTGATAAAAACATGACTCCTGGACTGGTCATTCCCACCGGCCTGAGATAGTGGTACACTCCTTGTTGTGCTTTTCCCTTCTAGCTTTTTCAGATCCCTTTCTGTTACATTCCACCTTGTTCCCCTCATTTGTCCTCATTGGTGAAACAGATGTTTCCCTGAGACATGGCATGATTTTCAGCAACCTGTAAAAATAAGATTAACTTTCCGTTGGCTGACATGGAGTAGAGGCTAGACTGTGTTGAGGTTCCTGGCTGATCCTACCACTCTAATTCCATTGACTTCCATACATTGGTTCTCATTTCTATAGGTTTAACAGGTATCAGATTTAGGCATAGGTTTTTTATTTGCTGTCTGCTTTTTTGAATTAGTATATACTGAGCTATTACCCTTCAAGTTCTTATCAAATATGAGAAATGACTTTTCGATTTGTCTCTACGGGAAACAGATGATATTGAAAATGTTTCCTGTTGCTAAAGGCATTCATTCTGTGAGAAACATATGAGCTGTCTTGAGGGTAGTGAGGAGATTAGGAGAAGGCCAAGAGTCAGGATGCTGGTACCCTTAGATAGTCAAAGCTGTCAGGTATAATTTGTGTAATTGTCTCGAAAAAAATTCCTTCCTGTCCACCAAAAATTCAGCTGAAACTT